ACCATTTGCTCCAGGAGCTGCGCCTGGATGACGGCCGATTCCAGCAATACCACCGTCTTTCACTCGCCCAGTTTGAGGACCTGCTGTCCCGCATTGGTCCCAGCATCGCCCGCCTAGACACCAACTACAGGCGCTCAATCCCACCTGCAGAGCGCCTGTCCATCTGCCTGAGGTTAGTGTTTAATACGGTAGTCCTTTATTGATACCTGTGCTAACATGGATGTGCTATGCTATCAACGAATGCTGTCGATGTTTACTGAAAGCAAACTGTGGTACAGAGACGACTGTTTATAATATTTCTAGTGATACTCAGAAGCTCTCATCAAGTCCCGATTTAATTCGATTTATGCTGTTATCAGTGTTTGAATGATAGCATGGCTGTGGTGTCCTATCAGTGTATGCTCTCGCTGTTTGCTGATATCAGACTGTGGTATGAGGACCACTGTGGGTTAACCTTTGTAGTGATACTCACTCCTTTTTATTTAGACCTGGTTTAATTCTGGGATAGTTGAATCTTTGTATATAATCCCAGCAGACTGTTTTAGATTATATCTAATATATATCATGCAATTATCCTGATAATTACAAAAGGTTTTATGTAAGATTTATGTTTTGTAATTTAAATCTGACATCACAAAAGTATTTTGGAATTTGAATAATGTATTTTGTAACTGCAGCATTTTGTCCAGGTTCCTTGCCACCGGGGACTCCTTCAGGACCATCACATTCAGTTTTCGAGTTGGTGTGTCCACGGTGAGCCAGATCACCCCCCAGGTAGCGACGTCCATCTGGGACTGTCTAGTGGACGACTTCATGGCTGTGCCTTCAACTGCAGACTGGCGGTGCATTGCAGAGGGATTCCAGGAGCGCTGGAACTTCCCTCTCTCCCTCACAGTAGAGGTTGCATCTGCGCTCCATGGAGCTCTGTCCTGAAATTGCGGAGAAGTGCGTGAAGGCAATGTGTGTTCTCCACAATTTTCTGCCGAGAGAGGTGCCGAGAGAGGGGCACCTGCTGTGAGGGGTGTGGCACCTGCTGTGAGGGGTGTGGCACCTGCTGTGGTGGAGCCGTTGCAAGGCCTGGGTCGTGTAGCAGCAAACAACTCCTCCAGAGAGGCTGTCCTGGTGAGGGAGAAGTTCATGGCTCACTTCTCGGCGCAGGGAGCCGTGTCTTGGCAACCAAAGGAGTAGCCTGTTTGAAGTCTGAGTGACTTCCCCACAACGGCTCTTTTAAGAGCCACCCACAAACCTCTAAAGAGTGTTCCTGTCTTTTTAAAATTTTCTTAATAAATGCAGCTCTACTCCAAAAGAAACTAACCTCTTTTTACTCTCTAAATAACTTGTCTTCACTATGTTCCTATAACCAGTGTGATGCAACCGTTTGGGCAACCTTATTAATAGTCATTATTTTCCTGTATGAATCGCTGTTACAGTAAAAAATGTCACTTGCATATATCATATAGGCGATATGGGTAGCTACTGGTACACAAGTCGGGGCCTGATCACCCCCGGCTGGGTCGCCTGGGCGAGGGTGTAGGATGTTGTGAGACCCGAAACACCTGATGACCCCAGGATACATCACTGAAGATGCGTACCAGTGCATCCAGGAGATGTCTTTATAGTTAAACGTTATGTAGCACGATGTCTCCTTCCAACACAACTGCACAGTCTCACACAGACGTATCGGCATCGTCATCTTGCAGGATGGTGAGGATAACAACTGATGCACCGTTCAACACTGGTTCCAAAAACAATGTCAGTGTCCTGAAGAAAAGTAAAATATGAAGTATTGAGAGCCAAGAAAAACTAAGGACAAAATGCATTTCTAAAGATTTTAACTTTAACCTCTATACCATGATGGTCATTTGACTCATGGAGGTTTTAAAAGAAAAAGCTTACTTTCCTTTAATTAATGGCACAGTATCTTTCACCCACCAACCTTGTGATGAGTTTTGTACAAAAATATTTTCTTCTGGAACAACGCCCAGCTGCTCCTCAGCAGAAAAAAGCAGTGAGAGTTATGACAACTGCAATCCTCACCATAAAATTATCCAATCACACATCTGCTTACCTGCATAAAATTATCTGACAACTGCAATTTAACATTTACAGTTTGATGATTTAAAGTCTCACACACAAGCCGTTGGAAAGGGGAGGAGAGTCCTGCTGCTTCCAAGTAGACCACATTTCATTCATAATGTTGTAAATCCAAGCCTATTATGTATTCATGATTTGAATCCTGGGTTGTGCGAAATAAACCCTAGACAAAGTGAACTAAGGTGTAGGTTTATTAGGTTATGTTGTGGTGATCCCTGAGGCATAGGTGTTCATACTGGAGTGTAAAATTAAAACCAATGGAAGATGGACAAGAAAGTTCAAAGCCATCATGTCTTCAGTTTAGAAAAAATAGAAAAGAAGAGGAGGAGAAACGAGCAAAAGATGCAGGTAAGCAGATGTGTGATTGGATAAAGGCAGGTCATCCTGAAACAATCAGAATCAGAATACTTTATTGATCCTGAAGGAAATGATGTGGGTTACAGTTGCTCCAAGAAGAAATGGTAAAAATAGCAACAGTAACAGACTAAACTCCAAACATTATGTTACAGATTTTAATATTAATTAGTCATTGTCAGTTGTTGAGTTGTTCTGTTCTCATTGTATGATGAATCATGATGGATGTTTGGTGGCTGTTTGCATACTATGTGCACTCTCTCTCTCTTCATATGTGTGTGTGTGTCTCTCTGGTGAAATTCAGTATGGTTCCGACAACAGTTTTATGTTACAGTTTTTTACAGACGCTAGGACACATGTCTCAATACTTAGGTCACGTTGGCAAAACTCCTCACACAGTGAGCACAACAGAAGTCTATGTGGGCTAAACTGAGGACCAGTTATCATTGTTTTGGCACAAAATGCATTCAATGACTACATCTCTCAAATTTCATGAATTATCTTCTCACTCAGACACAACAACTGCCAAAAATCTTTGTATGTACAGGACATTTTGCATGTGCTTACATACTGTTTCCAAAACTGTTAAACTTATGGTCAAAACAATAACACAATGCAAAACTGAATAAGACAGCAAAATTCAACATCAATATTTTATTGAAACATGTTTTAAATCTAAAAATGCAGTTTAACCAGCCACAGCTGATTCTCATTGTAGATGAACATCTACACAGGTGTTACTCCTTCAATTGTTCAACTCCTTCAATTCTGGCAGCCAGAAGATTCTTTCCTAGGTGTATTGCCCTAGATGACATAAGATGTGATGTGGATGAGAACCTGTGGCCAAATGGAGGAGGCCGAGTAGAATAGCATTACTATTGTATGTGTATCAGTGGATGGTGTGTATACAAATTCTTGTATTTTGGGATTACTTAGTGTAAAAACATAAAAAATACATAAACAAATATTAACGAATTCTGCATGATGTCTGATTCATTCCAGTAACATATATTGAAATTATAAACAGAGATGTGTCCTTGTTTTACACAAGAAAACACTGTGTAATGCTACATGTTGTTAGTGTTTTTTAGGTCATTGTTTTGTGGGTGACAAAGTGTGTTTGTCGGCTGTCAACCTTTGCTAGTGTTCTGGAAGAATGAGTTTATTTGAGACCTGAATGAAGTGTTTTGGTAGTTGTAGTGCATTTTGAATGTGAAATGAACTGCTTTGCCAAGCTGACGGTCAGTTAGGAGGATTGTGTGAAGAGTTTTGCAAAAGTGACCTAAGTATTGGGAAATGTGTCCTAGTGGCTGTAAAAAACTGTAATATGTTTTGTGTGTGTGTGTGTGTGTGTGTGTTTGTGTTTGTTTGTGTGTGGGGGGGGGGGGGGGGCAGAGGGAGTGTTCGCCCAGGGCTAGGACCGCCACTGCCCATGTTTGCCTACTGGTGGTGGTCAGAGGGCCCGGTGGCGCCAGTGTCCGGCAGCCTCGCCTCTGTCAGTGCGCCCCAGGGCAGCTGTGGCTACAATGTAGCTGCCATCACCAGTGTGTGAATGTTTGAATGACTGAATGTAGTGTGAAGCGCTTTGGGGTCCTTAGGGACTAGAAAAGCGCTATACAAATGCAGGCCATTCACCTGTTCATCAAGTTCATCCAGGAGGTCTTCCATCTCCTCACCAAGAGCTCCCTTCTTAGACCGGTACAGTTTCAGCAGGCCAGGCACAAATTTGTCCCCAGGACGTCTTTGCTTGTGATCCGATGAAGTTTTTCCAGATATCTAAACAAGACGTTCACCAAAATATTGTCATTTATTCAGCACAAAAAATTCCTGGGTAGCTGTCTTGGACAGTCTGCGCCATGTTATATGTCTGATTGTGTTATCAACAGCAAAACCTACTTCAAAAATCTCTCATGAATACACATTTTGCACAGGAATAGAAACACCCTCCACAAAACCCATCTCTACACACGACTGTCAGCTTGTTGCCACACTCTGTGCTGCTCTTTGTGCCCTGAGTGAAGCTAACTCAAACCTGTTTGTGTCTGTGTGGATTTATTTCACATTTCCATAACAGGACATGCTTTAATCATCATCATATCTCATTAAATTTGGCACAAAGAGCTGTGCGTTTGCATTTTCAAATCTAGACATTATGTTTTGAACTTTTTACAAATGATTTCCACCAATGAAGACTCTGAGCACGCCACAAACACATTTAATGAACAGCATGTGTAATTCCTCATTTATTCTAGACCTACATCAAGCAATAAAATATTATAAAGCCGTGTGTTAGTATTCATTCACGTCAGACTTTTTGGTGTTGAGTATATGAATGATCAGTACTAGAATGGATATGATTCATTATGGATAAAAACCTGAATGAGGCCTTTTCTTTTCATTTTCTCTCCTTTATTATTTATAACACGTTGTTTATGTGTTTATGGCTCTGTTTGGTACATTTAAATAGGTTTTTAGAAAGAAAGAAGGACGTTTATTCCAGGCGGAACAAAGTATTTGCACATCCTCCTCCTGCCGGAACTTCAGAGCGGGACACGAAGCGGAAGTAAACATTTTTAAAAGCCGGCAGTTTGGTTGTTCCAGCGTGAACTTTTGAAGGCTCGCTTTGTGCTGTGTGTGAGCCGAGGCAGTAACGATGCCTCCAGTTCAGTATCTGAGAGAGTTCATCAACGAGCGACTAACTGCTGCTGCTGAACAAATATTCTTGGAGTTTGAAAAAACGATCGTCCAGTACGAGGAAGAGATCGACCGTCAGCGCAGACTGCTGGATATCACCTGGAAACCCCAAATCAAGCTGCACAGGACAGGTGAGTGTCCCTCTGAGGGAGGATCCTGATCACAGCTCTGCGGGACGTTTCTGATTGTGAGGACTTTTTGGAGATGTGCGCTAACAAAGAGCAAACAGAGGACAGGACTGCGCTGCGCTCCATGCAAACAGCAGGCGCTGAAATCAGCCTGGATTTGAGCTTTTCTCTGACCTGGATCCATCACTCAATCCTGTGAATTGTTTGAAAATCTTTTTGTTTGGCGGTGAAACGTGTGTTTGATGGTGCGTTCAGGTGCACCTCATAAACTCAGTAATCTAGCCTGAAAAGGTTTTTCCTTGATTTCCTTTCTTCTTCTGCAGAGCTATAAAGAGTTCAGTGTTAATGTCATAACAATAAGGCTTTTTTTATTTCTCCATCAGTGACGTCAAAGTGGTCGCCCGGGCCCGTTGTGGTGATTGTCACAGTTCATAAAAGCTAAAGTCATACACAGCACGTGCACGGTTCCTGTGATCACATTTCCACACGTCTTGTCTTTATCTGAATAAATGCAGATCTGAGATCAGTGACTTACAGCTGATTGGACGGCTTTACTCTCACACACATGGGCGACGCAGTCATGCTGTAAAGTCCTGTTAATGTTTCTGTGGTTGTGACGTCTTTCTTCTGTCTCTCCAGACGTCCCACAGCAGCAGGTCTGTGAGGAGGAGGAGGTTCTCCCTGAGCAGCAGCTCTGGAACCAGGAAAGAAGCTTCAATGTGGACCAGGAGGAACCAGAAGCTCCACAGATTAAAGAGGAACAGGAGGAACTGTGCAGCAGTCAGGAGGGAGAGCAGCTGGGACTGAAGGAGGAGCCTGAAGTTCGTAATGATCCTGTGCAGTACGAGGAAGAGATCGACCGTCAGCGCAGACTGCTAGATATCACCTGGAAACCAGAAATAAAGCTGCACAGGACAGGTGAGTGTCACTCTGAGGGAGGATCCTGATCACAGCTCTGTGGTACGTTTACTTTGAGGCTGCGGGGATGTTTCTGGAGGACAGAAGGTGAATGTGTCTCTGTTTAAACAAGCATTCAGCTCTAAACTCACCCGAGGACACTGCACTGAGGCAGGGTTGGGGTTTTCCTCTCACACTTCCAATTCAATTTTATTTATATAGCACCAAATCACAACAACAGACTCCTCAAGGCGCTTTATATTATACAGTAGATGCAGAGAAAAACCCAACAATCATATGACCCCCTATGAGCAGCACTTTGGTGACAGTGGGAAGGAAAAACTCCCTTTTAACAGGAAGAAACCTCCAGCAGAACCAGGCTCAGGGAGGGGCGGGGCCATCTGCTGTGATTGGTTGGAGTGAGAGAAGGAAGACAGGATAAAGACATGCTGTGGAAGAGAGACAGAGATTAATAACAGATATGATTCAATGCAGAGAGGTCTGTTAACACATAGTGAGTGAGAAAGGTGACTGGAAAGGAAAAACTCAATGCATCATGGGAATTCCCGGCAGCCTACGTCTATTGCAGCATAACTAAGGGAGGATTCAGGGTCACCTGGTCCAGCCCTAACTATACAGTGGGGCAAAAAAGTATTTAGTCAGCCACCGATTGTGCAAGTTCCCCCACCTAAAATGATGACAGAGGTCAGTAATTTGCACCAGAGCTACACTTCAACTGTGAGAGACAGAATGTGAAAAAAAAATCCATGAATCCACATGGTAGGATTTGTAAAGAATTTATTGGTAAATCAGGGTGGAAAATAAGTATTTGGTCAATAACAAAAATACAACTCAGTACTTTGTAACATAACCTTTGTTGGCAATAACAGAGGTCAAACGTTTACTATAGGTCTTTAGCAGGTTTGCACACACAGTAGCTGGTATTTTGGCCCATTCCTCCATGCAGATCTTCTCGAGAGCAGTGATGTTTTGGGGCTGTCGCCGAGCAACACGGACTTCCAACTCCCGCCACAGATTTTCTATGGGGTTGAGGTCTGGAGACTGGCTAGGCCACTCCAGGACTTTCAAATGCTTCTTACGGAGCCACTCCTTTGTTGCCCGGGCGGTGTGTTTTGGATCATTGTCATGTTGGAAGACCCAGCCTCGTTTCATCTTCAAAGTTCTCACTGATGGAAGGAGGTTTTGGCTCAAAATCTCACGATACATGGCCCCATTCATTCTGTCCTTAACACGGATCAGTCGTCCTGTCCCCTTGGCAGAAAAACAGCCCCATAGCATGATGTTTCCACCCCCATGCTTCACAGTAGGTATGGTGTTCTTGGGATGCAACTCAGTATTCTTCTTCCTCCAAACACGACGAGTTGAGTTTATACCAAAAAGTTCTACTTTGGTTTCATCTGACCACATGACATTCTCCCAATCCTCTGCTGTATCATCCATGTGCTCTCTGGCAAACTTCAGACGGGCCTGGACGTGCACTGGCTTCAGCAGCGGAACACGTCTGGCACTGCGGGATTTGATTCCCTGCCGTTGTAGTGTGTTACTGATGGTGACCTTTGTTACTTTGGTCCCAGCTCTCTGCAGGTCATTCACCAGGTCCCCCCGTGTGGTTCTGGGATCTTTGCTCACCGTTCTCATGATCATTTTGACCCTACGGGATGAGATCTTGCGTGGAGCCCCAGATCGAGGGAGATTATCAGTGGTCTTGTATGTCTTCCATTTTCTGATGATTGCTCCCACAGTTGATTTTTTCACACCAAGCTGCTTGCCTATTGTAGATTCACTCTTCCCAGTCTGGTGCAGGTCTACAATACTTTTCCTGGTGTCCTTCAAAAGCTCTTTGGTCTCGGCCATGGCGGAGTTTGGAGTCTGACTGTTTGAGGCTGTGGACAGGTGTCTTTTATACAGATGATGAGTTCAAACAGGTGCCATTCATACAGGTAACGAGTGGGGGACAGAAAAGCTTCTTACAGAAGACGTTACAGGTCTGTGAGAGCCAGAGATTTTCCTTGTTTGAGGTGACCAAATACTTATTTTCCACCCTAATTTACGAATAAATTCTTTACAAATCCTACCATGTGGATTCATGGATTTTTTTTTTTTCACATTCTGTCTCTCACAGTTGAAGTGTACCTCTGGTGCAAATTACTGACCTCTGTCATCATGTTAGGTGGGGGAACTTGCACAATCGGTGGCTGACTAAATACTTTTTTGCCCCACTGTATGCTTTAGCAAAAAGGAAAGTTTGAAGCCTAATCTTGAAAGTAGAGATAGTGTCTGTCTCCTGAATCCAAACTGGAAGCTGGTTCCACAGAAGAGGGGCCTGAAAACTGAAGGCTCTGCCTCCCATTCTACTTTTAAATACTCTAGGAACAACAAGTAGGCCTGCAGAGCGAGAGCGAAGTGCTCTAATAGGGTGATATGGTACTACAAGGTCATTAAGATAAGATGGGGCCTGATTATTTAAGACCTTGTATGTGAGGAGCAGGATTTTGATTCCTGGATTTAACAGGAAGCCAAAACAGGAGAAATCTGCTCTCTCTTTCTAGTCCCTGTCAGGACTCTTGCTGCAGCATTTTGGATCAGCTGAAGGCTTTTCAGGGAGTTTTTTGGACTTCCTGATAATAATGAATTACAGTCGTCCAGCCTGGAAGTAATAAATGCATGAACTAGTTTTTCAGTGTCACTCTGAGACAGGATATTTCTAACTTTAGAGATGTTGCACAAATGGAAGAACGCAGTCTTACATATTTGTTTAATATGTGCATTGAAGGACATGTCCTGGTCAAAAATGACTCCTCACAGCGTTACTGGAGGCCAAGGTAATGCCATCCAGAGTAAGAATCTGGTTAGATACCATATTTCTAAGCTTTTCAGGGCCGAGTACAATAACCTCAGTTTGATCTGAATTAAGAAGCAGAAAGTTAGCGGCCATCCAGGTCTTTATGTCTTTAAGACATTCCTGCAGTTTTTTTTTTTTTTTTTTTTTTTTTTTTTTTTTTTTCATTATTTAACTTTTAATTGCAAAGCAGGGAAACAGCAGTGACCAGCATATACATACACAGGACAAAGATGCATCTACATGTATAGCAGGACGTGGGAGGCAGAAAGAAAAAGCCAATAGTAATAAACAATGAAAAAGGTTAACAATCGTCCCTTTGTTGCCAGGCTAAATCCCGTAAGCCCGATTTCAACCTCTGAGCAGAAGGAGTGTCCAGGTGGGCCAAAAAAGGGTCCCATATGCGATAGAAAAGGAAAGGTTTGTCCTTAAGTGCCGTAGAGAAGGCTTCCATTGGCATAATACATATCACAGACTGTAGCCACTGGTTGACAGATGGAGCCTTATCAGAAATCCACAGTACCATAATGCACTTTCGAGCGTAGTGTAGCAGTATGTGAAGGAGATCTTTGCTGCGAAAGCCGGCAGGTAGCTCATCATTTAGTCCTAACAAGCAAGTCCTTGGACCCAGATGCAGTCGGCAATTAAATATAGTACATAGCTTGTCTATGAGTGATCTCCAAAACTGTAGAATAACAGGGCAGCTCCACAGACAATGAAAAAAGGAACCAACAGCAGACTGACATTTGTTACAAAGATTAGGCAAAGCTGGAAACATCATGTGTCTCTTCTCAGGTGTAATATAAAGCCTATTTATAAGTTTAAACTGCCTTTCCCAAATAGAATTAGATGCCAAGGCTTTAAAAGGACGACAACGCAACTCATCCCAAGTTTCAGCATCTATAGCGCCTACGTCTGATTCCCATTGGCCCTTGATTTTGTTAGAGTCATCCATTCTAAGATCAGACAGAATGTTATAAATCTTTTTAGTGATACATTTTAGTTGGGTAGTTTTTACCATGAGTGATTCTATAGGAGAAAGACCAAACCCTCCATTAAAATCCTTCAATTTAGAAGTAATATAGTGCTTTACCTGAAAGTACTTCAAAAAATCCTTATTGGTCAGACCAAACTTGCTTTTCAGTTGATTAAAAGTAAGAAGAGAGTTCTCATGAACAAGATCACCCACTGTATTAATCCCTTTTTGAGACCAGTCCGCAAAACCAGCCCGAAGACCAGGTAAGAAGTCAGGGTTTTCATGAATAGGAGTAAGAAGGGAGAAACAATTAAAATATCCTTCCAGGCGCCTGACTTTGCGCCAAACAACGAGCATATTCTTTAGCACCATATTATCTTGTGTTAGAACTGTGGCTTTACCTGAGGAAATATATAGCAGGTTCCGCAACGGATACCCTTTAAAGAAGCGGACTCAGCGCTGAGGTAAATGGAATCCGGATCGTCCATAAACCATTCTGTAAGAAATTTAAACTGTGCAGCCAAGAGGTATTGTGGGAAGGAGGGAGCGGCAAGACCGCCTTTCTGAACCGGCAAACACAGAAAACTGTATCTCAGCCTAGGTCTTTTCTTACGCCATATAAAAGAAATAATTGAACCATTTAATTTTGACAAAACCTTTTTGACAGAGCAAGCGGTAACATCTGGAATAAATACAAGAGGCAAGGGAGGATATTCATCTTGACCAGATGAATACGACCTAAGAGAGACAGAGGGAGGCTGCACCACCTATCCAAATCGCGATTGATGGTCTGAATTAAAGGGGTGTAGTTCAGACTATACATTTCTTTTAGATTCGGTGAAATCTTTACCCCTAAATAAGTGAAACCGGAGGGAGACCAACGAAAAGGCTGAGAAATGTTTGGATCAACCTCATTTAGAACAGAGAGGGGCATAGCCTCACTTTTAGAAAAATTGATCTTGTAGCCTGAGAAGGAGCCGTATTGGGAAATTAACGCAACTAATCTAGGAATTTGAGTGAGCAGGATATTCTAGAAAAATTAAGACGTCATCTGCATAAAGTGAAATCTTATGTTGAGAATTGTTCAAACAGAGTCCTTCAATAGCAGCATCCTTCCTAATGGCTGTGGCAAGGGGCTCCATAGCCAGGGCGAATAACAAAGGGCTCAGCGGACAGCCCTGTCGA